AGTGCTAAAGTCGCGCTCGTGTGTGTGAGACGCGGGAGCTGATGGCAGGGGGCGGTGGATATTGTGGATGAGTTCTTCTGCGTCATCACGTTCTATTAGTTCTACAGCTTTAGTTTCGGAACTTTCACATTTAAGCCCTTCAATCTTTATGCTTGATTTATTTGTAACACATTAACCTCAAAACCTTCTCAGCTTTCTCTTTCTGCAAATTGTATGGTGTAGCGATATGATGACAGCACCCAAAATACTATCAAACACTCCAACGCAGCTCCATTCTTCGCGAAAGATGGATAAAAAGGCGCACAGCAAACAAAAACCTCGAAAAATGATATGCGACCCGCCAAATGCTGGCCGAATCACAGAGATGCCGATTCGCACGAGACTAATATTATCACAGGACCTCGGTGTTCGGCGAAAAGGTCATTTGCGGGGGAATTTTTACTTTACAAATTACAGACATGGCCGATTCGCACGGGATTAAGATTACAGACAACCTCCGCAATTATTACAAATGATTGGAGGTCACCCCGTAATACTAATCCCCTGTGAATAGGGCTTTAGTAACACATACAGCTGTTCCCTCACCACAGTGCAACACCCCTTTCAAACAGTGTCGCGTTCCGAACGTTGATTAAGTGACATATACCGGTATTGCGGTATTTTCAAAATTCATATCGTAACAAAAATAAAAACCGGTATTCGGTATGAACCGGTATACCGCCCAGCACTAGTATGAGCTACAGCAAATGTATTTACTACACTGACCAGTCACGATCACGAGACCACTAAACAGCGCTGTGAGATCTAGTGATCGCGCTCGAGTTCAGCGCAGAGTTATCCATTACAAATCACATAGGTGTGCGATTTAAACTAGTTTAAAGCCAAACCATGGTATTGTGGCAGAAAAGTTGAATATTTGGTCCCACTTTATATTAGGTGGCCTTAACTACTATGTACTTACATTTAAATTAATCATTTGATACAATGCACTTATTGTGTACATACATGTTTTTACATTGTACTTATATTTTTAAAAATACCTATGTAATTACATCTGTAATTAATTTCTATAATTACATTTATAATTACACGGTTGACCCATCCCTTACACCTTAACCCACCCTTAAACCACCCATACCACCAAACCTATCCCTAACCTTACCCGTATCCCACCTCAATAGCAGCAAAAGTGTTTTGCGATATAATATGAACACAATAAGTACATTGTACTTATTTTTTGATGTAAGTACATAGTAGTTAAGGCCACCTAATTTAAAGTGTGACCGAATATTCATATTGAATTTTATTATATTAATAATGTACTAAATATATTAAAGGAGTAATGGAATATAACCACAGTATTTTTGTTATTAAGTCATATCAGTTGTTTGTTGTGCATTTGTACTTATACTGAATGTCTTCAGGTTACTGTTTTTCATAGCAAATATTATTGGAACCATATAGTTAGGCTACTTTTTACCATTGTAGTGAGGTGCTGTACCTGTGGTTATCATGATCTACAGGGCACGCAAAATTTCTAAATCCCTGGCAGCCCTTCGGGCAGGCATTCTTCAGATTTTGGTAGCCCAAAAATGAATTTAACTAGCCCAATAAAAGATATTGTATTTTTTCTTCAAATAACAAGTCAAGAGAGTAGGGGTGCAACGGATCACAAATCTCATGGTTCGGAATATATTACATTATCATATCACATTTTGAGTCACAGATCGGATAATTTTTCAGATGAGCAAAAAAATAATATGGTTCTTTATTTAAGTAACACTTATTATTTAAAGAACAATTTACTACTCTTTTGTTATTTCTCAGACCAAAAGGCTGCACATTACTTTGTGAAATTGAAAATGTCAAACAATATACTAACTTTACTAACTAAAATTTAAAACAAATCCCAAATCAAATAAATAAATAATTCAAATAAATGTCTCCATGCAAGTAAACTAAGGTTTTGCCTGTGTATTTTAATCACGATCCAAAAAAGATGCTGCATACATGTTATTTAGATTTTAAAATGTAGAAATTTGAAACAAAAACAAAATGGTCTGACTTTAGCTTTGTGATACTACGTAAAAAATCTGAACGAAACAAAAACAGCAGACGGGCTGAATGAGACGCAAATGTCACTCTCTGACAGCAGGTGGCGCTTAAACAGCAGGTATTTATAGGCGGCTGCCCCTTTAAGACCGAATGCACAGATCCAATATAATGATGCACGTGCGATTTCTTTCTCCACTGTTTACGTTCATTTAAGACTAGGGCTGCACGATAAATCGCATGCGATATTTAATGCGCATCTTGTCAGAAAGCT